GGAGCCATGGAGCCTGAAATCTCCTCAGCGACCGCGCCACAGCTGGAGCCAGAGCTCGCTCTGCTAAATACAGCATCCCCGAGCTGGGAACTCGAGTGGGCCGTGTTGGATTGCACAGCAAAGCAATTTAAGCAAATGACTAATCTAAACCCTTCAGTTTCGTTCCTACTTTGGGCTTCGAAAAAGTGGCTGAAAAACATCAGCCGTCAATCCTCACCTGCTGTAACAAAGCAAACCCAGAAGATTAATCTTGCCATCCTAACACCAAACTGAGGCAAATCCAAACAAGTCTGTTTACTGACTTGTGCCAAGCCACTTGCACTTGGACTTGGATCAGGACTTGTGGCATACAAAAGGCATGACATGTTTTTCACTTCCAGAAGGAAGAAAGAAAAATTACTATGAGATTACTATAAGATATTACTAATAAAGATTATTTGACTCCCCAGACTTCCTGGTACCTCAACTAAGTCAGTACTTTGATTTAAATTACCCTAAGATTCCCAGAGTCTTAACAACTATTTCATTACAATACACGTTTTAGAAGCGTGTAGAGGTACGTGTGTGTCCATTACACTCAGAAAGTGCCAAAGCATTTGTTCTTAAAACCAGAGTGCACAAAGAGTTCTTCACGCAGCAAGGTCTCAGCCAACTAAACTAACAAGAACATTTAATTTGCTATTTGAATGCTCTGATTTTAAAAAAATCTTTCCAGCTGACGTAACAGTGAATTAAGAAACATGTGACAGCAAGATCTGAAAATATTACACTGGATGTAACCGTAAGTGAGAGCAAAGCTACATTAGATTAGAAATAAAGATGATCTGCGGCTCGCTCCGGAGAAACGCAGAACATTCCAGCACCAACGGTTTAAGTGCTGCAGTTGGCTCCAGCCTGGCAGCCTTTGCAAGGCAGCCTGTGTTTTACCAGCACACGTACTTCAGCAGCACAGCACGCTCAGCGTCATACTTACTGCGGTGCCGGCTGCCGCGGGAGCAGGGGTGCCACGACCCTCCTTACCAACACCCTGACTTTGTTCTTCCGGCCCGCGCGTGACAAGAATCCTGAAGTGCTGCTGCCTCGCGTTTTGATCTGGTCTGATTTTAAACAAGCATCCCTGCCCTTGAGGCATCCGCTCTACTGAATTGCTTCTAGGTATTTCTGCCCCGTTCCTGCTGTTTCCAGGCAGCTCCGAGTTCAGCCCATCGGCTGCGGGGCTGATTCCTTCTGCTGGTGGCTGGACGGGGTAGGAAGTACTCCTTTCCAGCCGTATCCGGGGGTACCTGACCAATCTGTCCCCTTTTGTTCCAGTAAAGCCAAAGTTACCTCCACCTCCTGCGCCTGCACTGCTTGTCTGTGGCTGCTGTAACTGGAGAACAAAGAACTTTTTCCCTGAATTTGCTGACGGATCTGGCACATGCTGCAAGGACCAGCGCCGGGGTTCAGAGGTGGGAGCACTATTTGGAGCCTCAGGAGCAAAGGGAAGTAGAGTAACTTGAGGCACCTCTGCACTTGAGGCCCGATGCTGAATCCTCACACCGCTTATGTTTAAACCTGAGGCCGCTTCACTCGCTTCTTCTCGCTGGGCAGCGGGCAGAGCCTCCTCGCTCTGGGGGTTAGCACCGCGAAACATTCTACGGCTACAGCAAACGCTTCCGTCTGCCCGCTGCCCCAACTCTTCCATCAGCCTGGGGGAAGAACTTTCAGGAGTCACCTGCGGAGCGCTCGGAGGAGAGCGCTTTTCAACGGGGGATGCATAACGCTCCCCGAAGTCCGAGAGCTTCCAGGGAAGCGTCTCCTCCGGAGACTCCGGGGCCGCGCACTCGTCGGCGCAGCCGTCGGCGGCTTTGCGCTGCAGCGAGATCTGCACGGAGGAGCTCCTGGTGGGGCGCGCGTCGATGCCGTTCAGCAGCTGCGGGATAAACATGGATGTGCTCCTTTTCAAGGAGCCCGCTTCGCGCGGATCTCCGTCGCCGCCATAATCCGCTCCGTGCCGCGAGAACGCGTGAGGGCCGCTTCTTCTCGGCAACGTGTGGAATGCCATGAAAAAGTCATCTTCTCTCTCCCGGGCAAGGATCTCCGATTCGGGGGCCGTGTTGCTTCTCCCAGAGCCAAAATGAAACCGCAGCCGATGGGCCATGGTTTTACAGAGAGGAGAAAAGGAGAGGGAGAACAGCAACAATTCAGGCGCTGCCAGAAGTTAAAAACCAAAGACATGAGCTCCGAGAAAAAGTGTCCCATCTGCCAAACGGTTAGCACTGCAGCCCTGGGAGCGACAGATAGCAGAAATAGCCCAAGTGGCAAGCAGCATTCCAGGCATGATTGGGCAGGAGCAGTCAGCGCTCCTACACACACGGTGACATAGGGTAGGATGGTGGGAGTCACGTGGCCTGGTTCCCCCTTCCCCCTCTCCAATGTAAGTGTGTGAGGAGTTTGTTTTTTCCTTTTTGTATTTTTTTTTTTTTAATGCCAGCAAGAGCCTGAAACAGCACCTTCCCAGCTGCTCCTTTTCCATCAGGGAGGAGCGGCCCCAGCGGGAGAGCTCTCGCAGCTGACAGAGGCAGCGAATACACTCAGCACTGCTATAAATCTGAACCACATCGGATTCACGGGGCACGCTTGGAGAAAGCACTTGCAGGAAAATGGAACTACAACAAAACACTTCCATTTTGTGTTAAAAGTTTAAGTCAACACTGCGTGCAAATGAGGAAAATTCTTTCAAGCATAACATTTTGGTGTGTTACAGCTCTGGGCTGTCATGGCAGAACAGGAATAAATACAAAATGGTTATGCTTTCCATTTTAACCATGCTTATAACACAACTGACAAACTTTTGCCTTTAAAAGGCCCCAACAGCAATATAACCTGCAGTTCCCTTTGAGCAACTCCAAATTACAAACAAAGCAATCATACATACGGCAAAGACCTAGGACACAGTAAAACCAGCAGAAACACACAGCACAGCAAGCCAGAAAGCTCCTTTTCCAGATTTAGCAGGCAGTACAGGTGAGGGAAAAGCGGAGCTGGGTGTTGCATGTCCGTTTGTACTGATCTGTCTCTGCACAGAACTGCCTGCTCCTGGCTGGCCTCCAGCGAGGCAGTCAGCAATGCCACCACGCGTGGCACTGCCAGCACGGAGTACAGTTACACTCTGACAGCCAGAAGGGCTCAGGAGGACAGGCAGACAGGATACACCACAGTGTGAACCAACCACCCTAAATCAGCTCTGCTACAACAAAGACACTCAGTGCCCTGAGGGCACTCACACGTGAACGGCGCACACACCAGAAAAGAAACTCTGGTTAACCACAAGTGCAGCTCCGTCTCAGGGCCTGGACAGCTGCTCCCTGCGAGAACTGGAAAGCCTAAATCTTGTCAACAGCTCTGAAAACCTGTGTGTGGCGGGTCAGTCCTCTGCCGACACATCTGAACTCCGCTTGCAAGCAGCTTGCTTTCAAAAGCCACAAAATTACCAATCCCAAGAGCAATGGCAGCTCGAACGGATCAAACTGCCAGCAGCCAGCACGATCCCACAATTCTTTACATGGATTATGAGACACAACAAAAACGGGAAAGCCATTTCAGTATTGACAATAAATATATGAGAGTAAAGCCAAAATAACCAGTTCAGTGTCTCCTCATTCTATAAACACAACCTGATGGAAACCTGCTATTCCAAACCCCACAAAGCAGTCACCTTGCCATAGACCTCCTGCAAGGAAAGCCATGGCTCCTAACCCCAGGTGCTGCCTTGGCCAGGAGGTTCCAAGCCCCAGGACAGACTGACTTTGGAGGCAGGACCAGAAGGAGAATACACATAAATTGGTTCAACAATAAAAAGTGCTGAAACTGCCAGGGTAAGGCCGGTACCGCACACCCAAACCCGAAAATCCAAAGCAGTATGTCTGAAATAAGTATCCCAAAGCTGTCATTTCCCAGCTGTCACTGCACAGGAGCTTTTTCTCTAACCCACCTCCATGCTCCTGTGGCACCTTTGCATTCCAATGGCACATGGCAGTTTGAAGAGTGCGAGTGGTCATTATGATCATTATATACAAATAAATATGCTCCTGGTCAGCCACTGTAGAGGCACAGTGCCACCAGTTCACCAGTTTACTTCCTCCTGGGGAAAGACCCAGTCATTCAGCTGCCAGGTCCTCTTTCTCCCCAGATCACAGCTTGTGTGGCTTCCTTTGCTCTTTATTTATTAGGGAGATAGAAGGAAAGAACCTATTTGTTGAAGACAGAAGCTTTTACACTGTCTTTTTTTTTAATGAAAGTATCTTTGCAACTCTGATCCTAATCTTAAGTTTAGTAAAGGTTGTATTGCCCCCAGCCCAGAAAATGTAAATTCGTGATCTCATGAACGGAGATGGTGTTACAATGTTCAAAAGGCAAACCCCCAAGAGCCATCCAACAGTGTGCCACTGCACTGGCACGTTTAACCCTGGATGTACAGAGGGACACTGACACTTTTCCCATGGATCAGAACTACAACAGAAACCAGCAGCAGTCAGAGGGTGAAAGCCTCCTCCAGAAAAGCTACTGCATCAGCCAAACTCAGTGCAAGACAAAACCCACTAACAACATGTGAGCATTGTGAGGCAGAGATGAAACCCAAGGGAGCATCATTCTGCCATGACCTCGAACCTTCACACGTGCACTGTGCACACAAGGTGCAGCTCTGCTAAGCTGATGCACCTCCCCAAGCAAGATGCAGAAGCACTAAAGGACTGGAAAGGGACACTAAAATGATAAAGCAGCTGCTTTATCAGCAACTAAAAAGGTCAGGACTTGATTGGTTTGAAGTGGGGAGGACCATTTTGGTCTGACCCAGAAGGGCACTACTTCAGTGCTCTTTTAGTCCCAGACCCAAATGGTTTTTACAGCTCTATTTGTGTTTCTTGGCACGCTCACTGAAACAACTGTCTGAAGACACCTTTAGGCTGGGGCACACAGAGCCTTGTGATTAGTGTAACACAACTAAGACGAGCACTCACCAGTCTGTTTTCATCAAACACCTCGAACAGGAGCCGATGGTTGGTTGGGTTTACCTGAGGGAGAAAATCCAAATGTCACTGCAAGTTCTGCACCTGGACAATAACAATCTGGGTACGAGCTCAGGCAGCGATCAAACCAAGGTGATTAGGACAGGACTAACAGTCTGATGTAAATCTTTACTTGAATTGGAGCACCAGAACCTTACTGCAACTGGGAAGAGCCTGGCAGCTGACATGAAAGCTTTTATTTGCTGTACTCAGTTACATTTCCCTGGCAGAGGACTCCAGTCCCAGGCTGGACAGACTGTCAGAGCTCCCTGACTGACTGACTGATTGATTTACAAGGAGCAACAGTTTTGCTGCATTTCCTTCAGAATTTACATTCAGATATGTTTCTGCCTGTCCGTTGCTCACCATCTCCAGCCCATTTGGCACACACCCTTGGAACACCCAGCAGAAATCTCCCCAACACCTGAAAACAACAAATACACCTCCAGAAAATTCTTTATTTAAACTGTTTGGTGCATGTGTCCCAGCAAGCATTCCCCACGACGCTGGGAACATCCCACTGCTGGCACTGCTGTCCCAGAGCTCCCCATCCGCGGAATTCCCAGCCGGAACAACGCGCCACATCGGCCCTCAGGCGCTGCTCGAGATTCGTGTTTGAAACCCCCTGAAATTCTACCTGACCTGCTTTTGTGGGAGCTACAGCTACACTGAAAGTCAAACTTCAATTGTTCTTTGGAAAAATATTGTCTGCAACTGAGTAGCAAAGTTGCTGCCCTTCAGGATTATGTAATTGCAGGTTGGGAAACAGTTTCTAAGGAGCCTGGAGCCAATTCCTGCTGAGCATTCCATCCCCTCAGAAGCACAACAGCAAGTACTTCAGGGCAAGCAGGTCTTTGCAGTAAACATATAAACAAATAGAAAATAAGATTAGCTGTGCAATCTATTTGATAAACAAACAATAAACAAGATTAGCTGCACATGTTCTAATAAGGACTGCAAATAAAGAGAAACTTACTCTGAAGTAAAACTCTTCATTCCATTTAGGGTTCAGTGTCTGCAAAAGAAATAACAATATTTATATCTGATGTTTAAGTTTTCTGGTGTGCAATTATAGAAACACACATGCAAGTGACAGTTTTCTAGGGAAATAAAAGAGAAAGAAAAGAATAAAAGAATAATAAAAGAAATTGAAAAATATATTGCCAACTAGAAATTCCCTATTGAGGTAACCAAATGTGGGAGGATATTTGAGTCAGATGATCCTAAAATAGATGTTAAATATAAATAGAATTTGATGATTAAAAGACAAATCATTGAGAACCTATAGGAATAAAATCTGAAGACATTTCATTCTCAAGATTCATTTAAACCCAGAATAATTTTTTTAAACACAAAGGTAACTTCAGGGCTACAAGAATATGCTCAGATTTACATTGTGAAATAAACACAAAAATTAAAAAAACCCAAAACCAGAAATAAAACCAAAAGAGAAGGTTATTCCTTGGAAGAGGTAAGATATTCTTCCAGTGTCCTCCCAGCCCAAGGATTTTAATTTTAGCAACCTGACTAAAATGCACAGAATAAACGTGCATACAGATTGCCAGCTGAAGTGAGCTCAAGCATGACATAATAATTTGATAAAAAAGAGATGAGAACTACAAACAGTAATTTGGGCAATTCAAGCTCGGGTAAGTATAAAAACAATTGGACAATATGTCCAATGTTTTTGTGCTCATGCCAAATCATTCCCTCATCTCTCACACAGCAGAGATTTACGGGCAGAGCTGACAGGGAAACTTGGCTTTACACCCACGACAATTCTGTTCTAGCAGAGAAGGGGAATCTTGGCTGTTTATCTTACTCCTTGCTATAGATCCAATAGATTCCTCATATGCAGGACATGGGGCTGACTATACTGCATGTCTCTACAAACTGGGAATGCAGGACCTCATGGCAGAGCAGGAAACAGTTCTGGAAAGAAAAGACCACTCACTGTAAAGGGCAAGTGAATCAAGGACAGGAAAAGTAGGGATGGGCTTGCGGGCGCAGAGAAACTTTCAGCTTTTTTTCCCAGAAGGAGCACAATGTATCCAGTAAAACACAAATTACAATGAAGCAGTAAGGAAAACAATGTTACATTTTAACCACGGCAAGAGAGGGTACCCGCAATTTACCAAACAAAGCACTGCCTTAACGCAGGTTTTGAGGGCACTGCTGCCCATTGACAATCCATTGATTCCAAATGCTGCTTAACCACAGAGCTCAGGGAAATCCGAAGGACAAGGCAGCAGAGCCTTTGGTAAATGCCTGGTAACTCACAGAAATCTGTCCCACCTTTGCAGGTCCCACTGTTAGTGGGCTGAGTTATCTGAGTGCCAGCAGGGAAGGAACTGCAGGAATGGCTCCATCCAGGACACGAGCAGGGAAACAGGAACAAAAACTCAACCTCAAGAAGAGCTACATCCTAAAAAGGGCAAGTGCTGCACACAAAAAGGACTGCCAGGAGTCAAGCTGAGCTAGACCTTCCTCAGGTATTCAAAAAAGGGTTTTCATTCAAGCCTACACAGAAAAGGAGGACATGGAGAGAAATGATGCTCCTGAACACTGGAGCTCAGTGGGGAGACTGGGCGCTCTCAGAGATGGAGATATTTTTAATATTCAATATGGGAAAGGCAGAAGTCTTTGGAGCTCAGCACAGTCAAGGTGAAGAAATTTAAGAAACCGGATAATCTTCATCTGAACTTTTAAATTCCAGCAGGTATTTAAAGAAAACACTGGCCACATTACAGGATCGAAGGCAGCAAACAGCAAATCCAGCTTTGCCTACTTCAGAGAGAACCTTTTCAGCAGGGTATTCCAAAATGAAGTACAAAGCAGTAATCAAACCTTACAGCTGGATTAACTATGGAGGGAGATAAATTGAAACAAAAAGCCTCAGAAATTTAACCCGGGTAGATCATGGTAACATGAAACTTTGTTTTTTCAGAGTAAGAAAACAATGTGCATTTAACCCCTCTGGCTGCAATGAAGCACTTGCAGAAGGACAGCCCAGCTGGGCAGTAGGGTACAGATCAGACAGCAGCACAGCACGTGGAAAAGGAGAACAAAAAGGGGACACTGCAGTTCCTTCTGCTGTCCCAAAAGCACTCCTGCAAGGCAGTGCCTCACTAAGTTATCCATTCAACTGAGGAACACAAAAATGAGGAGAAAAATGAGAAACTTGTGAAGGGTCAGAGACAGTTACAGAGCTGAAGGAGGTAACTGCCACTCAGTCATTCCTCAGATCAACTGCACTCGGTATTTTTTTAATGATTTTAACTCAAAATTGAGATATGCTAATGATGTTTGCTATTTACAAAATAGAGGATTGCAACTTGCACAGGGAGAACTCTGCCTTGAGATGAAATTTAACAATTCAAAGCAGAAATTACCAAGTAGAACTTTCCAACATATGAGTTAACACCACTATTACAGAAAGGACTGAGAATGTCTGGGCTTTAATTGACAGTGAGAACAAACAGCAAAAAAAGGCAGATGCAGTCCTGAAAATGAAACAAGCACTAATGGCTAACCAGAAGTCTTTGAAAAATTCCTTTTCCACACCAAACATGGCCTGGTTCTGGGCCAAGTTCTGCTTGGATCTTCCACACCTCCAGAATTCCACACTGAATTTCTCATATCACCCAACATCCTGATTTTAGAACTGCACCATTTCAGTCTGTGCTCTCAATAACAAAATTCTCCCCACTATTCTGTTTTGCAGATGATTTCAACTGAACCCTTGCTGATTCTAAATACCTCCATAAAAAATGACAAGTCATTATTTTCCCTTACTTTTCATACAGCTTATGACCACTTTCCTCTCTGCCAGCAATACCAGCAAAATAAAATAAAAAAAAAAATCCTTACAAAATCTTAGGGTCCTGACAATGACAAATATGCCCTGGTGGAATTTTGTTTGTGTGAACTAAAACTGAGAAATTAAATGAAACTCCGTTTTGGTTCTAATTAAAAATGTAAGAAATCCCAGGCTTTTCTTACAGCCTACCTTCTGTCATCTGGTTGTTTTAAATTCCCACATCAGGAAAATATTTTGAAAATGGAAATTTTGAACAGAATGATCATTTTTCTTGAAAGTCAGATAAATGATAATTAAAACAGAATTTCTCAGTCCTTTATTTCAGCCATGTCTTCCAACGCAATATGAATTTTAAAAAAGAATCTGTGGATGGTGCAGCCAAGCTTTAGGGGACAATATGCAACATGAGGTGCTGTCTCCAGGCCAGACACACTGAGGTGCAGGCACTTGTTCTCAGACTTTGCTTAGGAGACAACCACATTATCCAGCTGCTTGACGGACATGTATGCAACGATTTTAATTAGCGCTGCAGCATGTTATACAATTATGTTCCAGCGATCTTAATCCTTCCAAAACCACGGGATTAGAAAGAGTATCTACATACCTTTTTGATAGTTTTTGTCTGCACAAGAGCAAGTTCTCTGTTCTCATCTGCTACATACAAGGAAAGTTTCACATACGGGTCGCTGCAAAAGAAGACATCAGATTTAATCCCCACAACTGTACAGCCAAAGAGCGTTGCAGAAGGAATTTTTAATTTAACTGGGTAACAACAGCACTGTCTTCAGTGAAAGCTCAGAACTCTGTAAGCTACTGACACACTGAAAATCAGAGTTTGAATGTTAAACCCCACCCGTAAGAGCAGAGATCATTCTGGCAGCTCTGTCCCTGCTGGGGGCAAGAACCGCCTGTTCCCACAAGCACGCCTGTGGCACTCCATTAAAACCAGGCAGGGAAAAATGGCAGCCCTGGGCTTTGGGAGAGCCTGGCTGCAGCTAACCTCTGGAGGCTGAAAGAAGTGCAACAGGAAGTGTTCTGAAGCAGTGGTTATAATTGTTCTAGGCCATAAAATCAAGCTGTACAGTATCAGCAGTGACTCAGGGCAGAGAGCAAGCTGCTCCTGCCTGGGACACAGATGGGACTGGATGGTCCTCAAGGCCCCTGCCAACGCACACCATTCCACGGTTCTGTGCTTTACACTGCAGAAAGAGCATCCTGCAGGAACAGGTGAACTTCACACGGGTCCAATGTCAGGAGTCTCTGCTCCAAGGGGGAAATGGGTGCCTGAGTAAAACCAGGACCCTGAGCTGCTCTGGCGCTTCCCTCTCAAGGCTGCAGCACACTCTGCTGATGGCGACCCAAGGCTTCTTGAAAGCATCAACAAGAGACACTCACAATACCACCAGACATGCAGATTCACCAACCAAGTCATTGAAATGCTGACACTTTTTGAATTTAAGGAACTATTTTGTGACAGTATCACTACAGAACAATCAGAGCTGGCACGTTCATTATCCTGGATGTTCCTTGTATGGAATATAAAATGCCACAAAGGTGGAAACAAGAATAAACAAGACATCTTGTTGGATTGATTATTCCTATCAGTAGATGCACATAAATGCATCTCTTCACCTGCAATTAAGTTCAGCATTAAGAAGCAAGGTTTAGAAGAAAGCAAAGCACCATTGTGATTATTGTGCTGGTGCTGCTTTGAATTACCTGATATTTACAGGTATCTTCCCAGATTTGGGCTACCAGTCCATACTTGGGCAATGTTCTTTTAGGAACCATTAGAAATACTGCAATTTTTTAGTGCTAAAATACCCTGGATGACTGTTTTGCCTACAGAAAATGAAAACTGTGCCACAGAGATTATTTTTAAAATGTATTTCTATTTAAAAAAACCAGAGAATAATCAAGTTTATGACAAAGTTCAGTAAGGAAATTTTGCCCTTACTGAACTGACTCCCGACATCTCTGGCTGCTCTAAAAGCAGGACAGAGTGAGCCAACATCCAAATAAACAGTGTAATTTGCAAGTGCCACGAAGTGAGCAGCTCCAGGTGCAATCCAGGGGTCTGTACAGCCCCACTTGTTTGGATCCTGCTCAGTGGCTGCCCTGCAGGTGACACCACCTGGGATCCATACAGCTACCAGGGACATGAAACAAGGACAGAGGAAAGGAACACACACCAGCTGAGACTTCCTGGGGAGCAGACATTGTACCTGAACAAACTGGTGAAGGAATCAGAGAATGGGCAAAGAATGGAAGAAGGCAGAACCCCAATTAAGTCACAGCAGCAAAACAAAGTAACTGGGATGCCAGAGAACAGTCATTATATGTCAGAGAAGCAGCAGAAACACTGAGTGAACTTTACAGGGGTTAACTGCACCCCAAAAAGCCAGCTAATAGCAAGTATTCCAGATAAACGTGGCATCTTTGCAAGGGAAAGTAAGTACCAACGTGGAAGATCTATTAGACAAAAACATGAAAACCACTAAAATTGAGGGAAACTTGCAAAAGAATGAAATGCAGCATTTGGTCTGTTAAAAGTGACTGGAAAACCTATCCACAAATTGGAATGACATAGACATGAAGACAAGCAGTAAAATACCAGACTCCTGTCTCACAGCAGCGCCTGCAGATGTGTTAAAGGAAGGAAATCCTGATGATTCAGGCGACAGAAGACAATAATAAACCAGACACCTGCTGAGAGCACCAAAAACCCCCAACAAAGCAATCAGGTGAGTCTGGACAATGCTCTCAAGCACACAGTGAGACTCCTGGGATGTTCTGTGCAGGGCCAGGAGCTGGGACTCAGTGATGAACTGATGCTCCATTCCAACTCAACGTATTCCATGGTTCTGTGGTTCTAACTTTGAGCACAGACAGCAGACTCGAATCACTCTGGAGCTGTACCTGCCAGGTATTCTCACCCTGAAACTGACTGATTAAAAGGAGGGGAGATGGGGATTAAAATGAAATAGTGCTTTCTTGACTTTCCTCAGGCAAACTCACTCATTCCTCCAGAAAGCACTTTAAACCCCCTTAGAGCACTCCTGGAAAGCACCATTCCAAGTGGTGCATGAATACTTTCACTGTGCTCTAAAAACAAGTGGAAAATAAAGCAGCTCATCCCACAGCTCCTTGTGAACACCAGCCTCAGCCCTGAACTGCTGATTTGCACCAGGATTTAAAAGGGCATGCTGGAAAAGCTTAAGGGACACTGGATGAGCAGAACCAAGCCCTTCCACTCACACAGATAACATCGTGTATCTGACATATGGAACTGTGTCAGTTTTGCACCTTGCTAGGAAAGCTCGCTGCAGAGGTCACTTGGAGGAAAAGTACCGGGTTTGCCTGGGGAAGAGGACAAAGGATTGAATGTGAAAATGTCACGAAACAGAAACCTACAAGTAGGAAACTTTCTCTACATCAATTTTTACACTAGTAGCAGTGCTAATCTGCCATCTTAATGAAACCTGCAGCACAACAAGTTGGCAGTCACGGACTGCTAGGAGTCTGTCAACGTAGTAGGAAATATCCAAGCGGAATCTACACAGCTGTAACACCAGAAAATGGAGACAGGAAACGAAGGGCACGCCTGGAGCCTGAGGACACTACAGATGGCCAGCCCATCCCCAGAGTTCCACAGGCAGCACCCAAACAGCACTGCAAGCACAGGGACACGACAGACTGCTGGAGAGCCGCCCAACGCAGTGAAGCCGTGTGTGCAAGAGGTGACCCGACGGTAGCCACGGTGATACTAAACCTACATTTAGGCAACAAAGAGAAATTTCAAAGGACCAAGCAGTGTTTAAAAGAGAAATGAGCCCAGTCACCATCACACCAGTGACTGGAGATGAAGGGGAGTTCATCTGTGGACGCCTATCTAAAATGCTCCTTGCTACAAAAGCAAAAATTATTAAAAGCACCAGATCTCATCTATCCAAACACGACTGGCCAAACCTAAAGAGAACATCAGCACCTGCCAGGATCAGGAGAGCCTTGGATCTGATAACAGTTCTCTAGAGAATAAAAGGGAATCCTAAAAAACAATGCTAATAATGAAAGTCGTATTAATCATAATCACAACTTAGTTCAAAGAGAGTTTGGCAGAACAGCCATCAAAACAATCTGAGGCTTTAAGAAATCCTTTTCCTGACCTCAGGAATCCCTCAGGCATCCAGAATTAGCTATTTGCCTTGGTTTTGTCGACTTGCAGTATTTGGCATTTTCTTAAAGCTCAAGCAACTGTAGATATATAATTATCATCTTTCATTTGAATCTCAGCATGAAAAGGCAAGCTTCCAGCTCTTCTTCTGGAGAACAACAAAAGCACTGATGACTTAAAAACTCCAGCGAAAAATCTCAAGGAAGATCAGCCTCCTTTAAAAATCACATTACTTTAGAGCAGTGTGAAAGTAGGGCCCATGAACAGAGTTCCATTTGTTCACTTGAGTCTGGAATCACATCTGCTCTATACTTTTGAAACGGTTTTGAAAGCAAATCTCAAACTAGCTTCTGCCAGTGACACGATGTATTATTTACTTATTTTAAGCTCTAAAAGAAGGGGGTGGAGAGCACAGGCACATGTGAAAGAACAATGGAACTACTAAGGCCTACATGGCTCTATTTTTATTTTAAAAGCTGAACCCGCCTCCCCACATATAAAATTTAGTAACACTTGTTATGCAAGTGCGTGAATGCCAGGCTTGTCACATGCAGGCAAACTTTGCATTTCAAAACAGCCCGACTAGTTTCCTTTGGAACAGTCTTGCACAAGGTAATTTTGCTTCTGTAAGAAATACAGAACAATTCCCTTTGTGCTGCCCCTTTTCTGCCTCACGTATCTGAAAGAACTGATCAACAGCTCCTGTAATTCTGGCTGCAGAAACACCAGCACACTCCAACATAAAGGCAGAGATGCCTCTTTCTCAAAGCCATATCCCAATCTGATTCTTTCCCTGGTCTTGAGGGGACCACTATTTGGCTATCAGTTAATCCTCACCCATCCCCTTTTCCCACCCCTCACTCCATCTATCTCCTCAGTGCAGGTATACATAGAACAACAACCTCACTGAGCCCTTAAGGCGTGTGCCTCCTCGTACTCCTAAGGCAGAGAAGTTGAACGTTTCAAAAATGCACCTCAGCTTTCTGTCCAGAACAGCAGAAGACCTCAGGCCACCTCCTCGCCACGGGGCTGAGGGCTCTGGCTTTGCCTGGTCTGGGGGTCCCTCCAGCTGTGGGCAGGCAGGGAGGCAGGTGTGCCCAGCACTGCAGGGATGCTCTGGCAAACCTGCTTTGACACACAACATGCCTTCAGGAACACCACTGACAAATTCAGATCAGTAACGTACACTGTCTTCAAAAACATTCATCTCAAGGAGTCTCCACAAAGTTATGGGAGCTCTTGGATAGCAGCTAACATCAGGGCTGAAAAGCAGGTTATGCTTGGCAAAAGGAAATGTTTTTCAGAATTATTTAATCATACTTAGAGAAACTCTGTCTGTGCATGCATTTAGTGGAGCTTAAAAAATTCCAATTTTTTTTTAATTCCGATGTTTTGCTTAGTCACTTTTAGATCCAAAGAGATGAGGGAAACAAATTCCCAAAACATGCATCATCAAAGAAGATTAGAATTATAATGAGATACTTCTAACCAAGTTTTAGAGAGAGCAGTAAA